CCAAGGAAATACTTGTCTTAATGAGTTATTCTAAGGCACACACCCTTGTAACCACCACCAAGTGAAGAAACACAATTTGGCTTCCTATTTTAGAAACCCTTTCCTTCCATTCATCCTGTTCTGCAACCATCCCAGGCCGGATAGGTTCACCATAGGTGCAGGCAGCTTAAAAGAGATCCTTGGAGCCCTTGGCATCATCCCCACAAGTTTTCTAATAGTATGCAGGGGAGACAAGCCAGCAGGGAGACAGCAACTTGGGCCTCCCTGAGAATCTCCATAAACTCTTTCTCCTCATAGTCGTACCCTGTTGCACTGTTCTCTGCCATACTCCACCCTCTGTGATGCCGCCCTTATAAACTCAGCCTCCAGGCTCAGGTGTGCTCACTTATGAGTGCCCACACCACACTCAAGGTGTCTACCATAAGGCATGCGTACCCTGAGCCCATACTCCCAAACGCCTCTTGCATTTAAGGCCGCAGGTGATAGCCACAGAGGCCGGGGACATAAAAGCCTGTGTAATCTTCATTTACCCTACACATCCCTTGGCTCAATCACTACTATCCTCCCCACCAACCCCTCCACCTCCCCCCACTACCTAATAAGGAACAATAGCCTAACTTTTATATTATTCCCTTTCACTTCCTTTTTTTCTTTAGTGGCTTTACCACCCAAATGTGTAGTCTCCCCTGACACACACACACTATAAGTTTGATATATCTTTTAACTTTACAACCGCATCTTTTTATTTTTAGAGGTTTCATTTATTTTTGCATAGAAGACCTGGGGTGTTGGCCAGAAGTGCAGGGTGTGAGAGGATTCACTTGAGACAGAGTAGGAAGCAGAACAGGAGGACTGAATGAAATACACTGCTAAGGGGAGCAGCAGATGAGATAGGAGAGGTCTGCTGTGCCATATATGGGTTAGCTCCCTGGCCAGGGATTAAACTTGGACCTTAGTGGTGATAGTGCTGAAGCTTTATCCCTTGGCCACCAGGGAGGCCCCTACAACTGAATCTTGAAGAACAGAGGCCTTTGATCCTCAGTCAGGACTTTGCAGATTGCACCATGCTGGAGAGCTCAACATATTCCTGTGCTTTCTACAAATGGACCGCTAGATCCCCAGTCTAGACCAGATTCAGGTTCAGTCCCTGTGGGAGAGTTTCAGGTGGTCTTCACTCAGGAAGCACATGTCTACTTCTTTCTTTTTATGATGTTAGGAATTGTTAATGCATAATACCTACATATTGTGAAATTTGCATATTCTATCATTTTTCTTTTATTTAATGGTGGAATACATTTTATGTGGATTCATTTCCCTTTATCTCCTATTTTGTTACCTAAATAACCAAATTTAACTTTTTAAAGTTCCTTTAGAGGAGCGCTCCTGAAATCATCATATAAGTAGTTTTGTTGGGGTCCTATGTCTTTGGACTGTGACTAGGTATCTGTAGAGTTTGCAGATGAGATATTACCCATAAATGAGACTAAAAGGCACACCAAGGTTGTAGATGAAGCAGATATGTATTAATTAAGCAGATATGTGTTAATAAATAAATAAGATTTATTTATTTATGCATACAAGAACTGGGGTGTAAGCCAGAGGTGCCGAGGGGTAAGAGTATTCACCAGAGAGAGTGGGGAGCAGAACAGGCGGATCCACTGAAATACACTGCTGAGGGGACTAGCAGGCGAAGTGGGAGAGGTCTGCTGTGCCATGTGGGTTGCTCCCTGGCCGACCCAGTGGCTGGTGATAACTTGATAGCACTGTCTTCAACCCCTGCATCATCAGAGAGGCCCTAGTAATGTTTTCATAGCAAAATCCAGTCACTAGCAACTTAAAGTTCATTCTCTGGATGATGGATTCAAGGCAAAGTCCGTGTTTCCTTTGGTAAGCCTTTGTGAATTTCATGGAGAAATTGTTAACTAAGGTGAACCAATGAAACTAGAAGAAAAAAGGATTCTTGTGACTGTTTTAGGTCAGCACATAGGGTTCCTGCCCAACTTCAAGAAAATCAGAAATTAATTACTTACATCTATATTTGAGCACAATTTTGGACTTCCAAATGAAAGTATTATTTTTTCAAAAAGTCTCATTTGATATACCTGTAGTGATGTAGCTCTCACACAACCTAAAACATTAAAAAAAAAGTTTTGCTAATATAATTATGTTGAAAGAGAGATCAAAACTCTTGGGTTTTCTGTTGTTTTTATATTTACTACAGGTGTAGTAGGTAGAAAGGATTGTTAGTTTCTTATATGAGAATTGATAATGACTATACTTTAAAAATATTTTCATTCTGAGAGTCACCCTTAAATTAGTTGTTTGGTGTTAGCAGCTGAAGGCATTTAAGATGCCTCCTGGAAGTGCTCAGGAGTTCACCTGAAAGCAGTTAGGTGAAATGCCATATATTCAGTAGATTAAGCAAGAACTTCAGGGTGTCAGATGACTTGGGTTCTCAACCTACCAACCCCACTACTTTAATGACTTTAGACACTTGTTTATGTCTTGTATTCCTCATTTGTAAATTTGGTAATAAATTTATCTCCCAGGGCTGTTGAAATGTTTAAGTGATGTAAAATGTCAGAAAAAATGTTTTCTTATATCTACCTATTGTAAATGTTATCTATATAAGAAGACTCAAATAGTACAAATGGAATCGTTTTGCCTTTTGAATTGGTCATTATGACAATTGAAAACTTGTGACAATTTGAAAACTTCAAATTAGAATGGATTACTGCTTCAGATACAAATACACTGAGAAATTTAGGTTTTAGAGATACATTAAATCAAAAACAAAATGATGAAAAATCAGAGTACACCTTTTGGTAAATATACATTTCTCACACTCTGTCTCCTTGATGGCTACCAAAAAAAAGTATCAGATCTGACATGTTATTCATTATGTGACATTATAGACAAAAAATAGAACCATTTAGACTTACCTACGAATTAAAAGACACAACAGTTGACATAACTGTCTAACCTTTATGCTAGATTTTTGTATATTACACATCAGCAGAGAGAAACCTTTCCAGAAAGGAAGACTTTTTCCAGGACTTGGCCTGCAGGAATATCAAAAAGGTTTTTTTCTTTCTTTTGATTCAATGGCAAAACATTGTACTTTATAGAAATGGAAATTAAGGGATTCATTTGAAAAATTCTCTATGGTACTTTGGTTGTGAAGTTTGGATCCTATAACATACACTCAAATGCGTTTATACTTCTTTTTATCAATACTGTATCACACTGTGGCAGACAATTCTATCTGTTCACCAAATATTTTTTTCATATTGTTCACCCCTTCCCCCCATACCGCCCAGTCTTCTTAAGCAGGTTGGATCTTATGATTAGCTCAAGCTAATGTAATGTCAACAGAACTGAGAGGTTCATTTCTGGTGGAGGCAAAGAAAAGTCCTTCCAGGATTCTCCAATCCAGTTGTTCTGCATCCCTAATGTGGAGGCAACCGTTGGGATGGCAGGACCAGCAATGAAAGCAGTTGGGATGTTGAGTCACCACATAGAGGTGAAGTGCCCAGTGGTGTCACCTTCAGGTGACTAATGCAGCATCATAACCTAGCCCATTCTGGTTCAAACACAGAACTGAGTGCTTTATATTCATAAGCCAAGTGAAAGGCTAGAAAAGGGGAATTACTCTAGAGATCTAAAATCAAATTATAGGGCCTCCCTGGTGGCACAAGGGGTTAAGCACCACACTATGAAGGAATCCGCAGCCTCTGAAGTACAAGTTCAATCCTGGCTGGCCAGGGAGCAACCCACATGGCACAGCAGACCTCTCCTACCTCACCCTCAGCAGTGTATTTCTCAGTCTGCCTGTTCTGCTCCCCACTCTGTCTCTGGTGAATCCTCTCACCTCCCCCCCCCCCATCTCTGGCCTGTGCCCCCAGCTCTTGTATGCATAAATAAATCTTTTAAAAAAAATGAAACCAAATTATTATACAAACATCTAGAGTTTCCATGTTTTAAAGTTGCTGACCCCATAAGGTAATTTTGCTCTACAACTATCCAACCACCATTTACATCCTATTGCAATAATTCAAACTATTTCCTCATATTTCTTCCGGTTCAGCTCCAACCCTAGCCCTTAGCGCCAAACTAGTTTTCAGATACTCTTGTAAGGAAACAGAAATTGACTCTGAATTTAAGAAATCATGCTATTATACGATTTGCAACATTAAAATAGAACCATTTGCACGATAAGGATAACTTCTTATTCAATTAGCCTAACTTTTAAAAGTACAAAAGCCACCAGAAATCATGACGGCAAGGACTGTTAGTATTCTTTTTTGTTGTTTGCCAGCATTCGGTTTGTTGAACATGGCTTGTTTTTTGAGTATTGAAATATCTTTCTCGCAATACAGCTTTCCAATCACTTGCTTCTGGTGGCTTTAAAATCTGTGATTCAACTTTGTTGGCGATGGCGTGTAGTTTCAGTAAACTCAAGGTCTGAGGAACGTGTGGGTTTGCCCACCTTATTTTGATGCAAGGCGCATCCTGGATAGGGGCTTCCAAACAAAAACCTGTTTGAGAAACTCCATTATTCTCACAACTCGTCCCGCCCCCCAGCCCCCCACCCCCAAAGTAAGGCTAGGGACGCCACAGTTTACGGGCACGAACTGTGCGAGCTTCTTTTAGAACTCAGGTACCTAACAACTTTTCCACTTTCCACCTCTAACAAGCGCGAGCGCCCAGGCGCCTCGGAAATGGAGCCCTCCCCGGCGGGGCGGGCGCGCGCACAGCCTCCCCGGGACGGGCGGGGCGTGTCGGGAAGGCCGGGGGACGCCCCTCGCCCGCGGCCCTGGGCTGCGGGCCGGGAGGCCGGCCTTCCCGGCGTGCCCCGCGCGCGCAGGGGACTCTTAACTTGAAGCACCGGGTGACTCAGCCGCGTGGCCGCGCCGGCCGAAGTGGGGGGCGCGCGCCGCTGCGGCAGGGCCGGCGGTCCCCGCGGCGGCTTCTCGGGGCGCGGAGCGCGCGCGCCTCCGGGCGAGCAGGGGCCGGAGCGCCGGAGCGCGGGGGCGCCGCAGGTGAGTGGCGGCGCGGGCCGGGTTCGGGCGCGGGGCCCCGGCAGGGCGAGTGTGCGGCGGGCGCGGGCCGGAAATTTGCCTTTGTGTTGGGGGGGCGTCGCCTCGGCCGCTGCCCGGGCGGGTCGAACCCCCCATTGAAAGGCCGCGGGGCTCCCCTCACCGCGAGGAAGAAGGTCGGCAAGTGGGATCCGGGTGTCGTTTCCGCGCCGAGGGGGAAGTCTGACGAGGGGGCTCGGGGGTCCCCTAATGTGGGGTTCGTAAACACGCCGGCGGGGGCCTCAGGGAACTTGGCCGTTTCCTGCGGGCCTTCGCGTTCTTACCCGCCGGCGGCGGCTCGGGCAGAGCTCCGCAGTGTTTACTGACAAGACATTTGCAGATGCGCGTTTTTCTGGCAATTGACAGACTTTATTAAAAATTAAGTAGTCAGCCCGACTTCTTCCTGAAGTCTTTCTTTCTGGAGCGGAGAGTGCCTTTTGCTCGCTCTCTTCACCCCTGCTTCACAGGCTCCCGTCTCTGCCACCCACAAATTACCAGCTTTCCTCAGTGGCTCTGGGTGCAGAAGAGCTGGGGAGAGGCTTAACCGGTAATCTTCTTTTAAATAAAACCTCACTTTTTATAGTAGTGTCTTCGGGCTTGCAAACCTAGTGCTGCCCTATCAGAAATCCTCTTCTGTCGTGCAGTTTGTGAAGACGCCTGAGTTGAACCAATTTATTTTTTAAACAAAAAAAAAAAACAGTGAGCAGACTAACCGGATGAACAGGGCTATAGAGGATCTGTTTTGTTACCAAGTTAGCGAAAATACAATTTCCAGGCTCTTTCATTCTGCCTCTGTTCGGTGCTTAACAGCTAGCTGCACCTGTTACCTGTGTGGTGTTTTTACGTATTACTGACATACATTATATTAGTTTCACTTGTAGGACATAGTGATTTGACATTTGTGTACGGCAGGGCCTGGAATAACATTTCATGCAAAGCCTTCGCTGTAAGTTGAGAAAAAAACAATCCTGCCCACAACGTCATGGAGGACCCGCATTGGGTATATGGGTCTTTTGCTTCAAGCTGCTCTTTCCCAGAACTTATCCACCAGGTTCAATTAGGGCTTACTGTATATTGCAAAATGACCATCTTAACGTGTCCATTTAAGGTTTTTTTTTTTAGCATTTTTCAGAATTGCAATACAATAGTTTTTCAATGATCCTCAAAATAGAGTTACAGAAATAATTGGATGTGATCGATTCAGAATCAAAAAACTTCATCCACAACTCACCACCACCACCCCATCAAATTTTGAGGCAGTAGTTCTCAAATAAATGTTTGCTCCATAAAAATGCCAGTACCTCTCCCAGAAATGTGATTCTGGAGATCTCTGATGGGTCAGAGTCTGTATTTTAAGCAGACACCCCCTCCCTTGGTCTTAGAAATACCACTTCAGAATTTTTGGAACTGCCAGGCTCCTTTATCCCCTTGTTGGTTTACTCTCCCCTGCCCCCAACCAGTCATGAGCCAAGAAGCTCTGACACTCTAGAAGGACACTTCAGGAAAGATAGTGCTTTCTTGGACTCTGACACCAGGATAGGAAATGGCTTTCCTGCACATTCTAATATGAGCTAGCCTGTGCTGATTAACTTGTCCTTTTTCCTCCTGGGGGCTTCTTCCAGTTTGTCAGAGCTTAAGCAATGCCATTAGGCCAAATCTCCCCACTCCCAAATGAACCCAGTCTGCTTTCCCTGAGAACCAGTCCAGCCAATGCATGTAAATCCTATGGCCTTAACCTCTCAGATTCCCTGGAATATAGCAGTACCAGTAGCATTTCCGAGGGATTTCAATTCAGCTGAACATTAATTCAGTCATCAGATTCCCCGGTGATGCCTATTTTGCTTGAAGGTTTGTATTAAGCCATTTTAGCAACAGCGCTGCAAAGATGGCACAGAGTTGCTTTGCTCCTTTTCAGGCAGAAATGAGAGGTGACTAACCAGTGCTGCCAAAGCTTTTCCTGCTAGTCCCTCTTCAAATAGATGTGTAGGGAGGAGATTAGAGGTAGTGTGTTTCTGACTTTTCTTCTGACTTTGGCATCTTTTTGGTGTCTGATTTCTCTTATTAATTGATATTTTTCTGTTGGGTCCCAAAATATCGTCTTTCCTTCTTGGCCCTGGGCTTCCTGATTACTGTATTTTCTTCTGGGCCCCTTTCTGAACATGCCTGCTCCTCCCTGGTTAACTAAAGTGAAAAGTTTAGGGAAATTGTTAGAATACTCAATGATTTCTTTTTTTTTTTTTTTTTTTATTTTTTTTTATTTTTTAAAGATTTATTTTTATTTATTTATACAAGCACTGGGTACAGTCAGAAGCGCGGGAGGGTGAGAGAATTCACCAGAGCCAGAGCGGGGAGCAGATCAGGCAGAAGGACTGAAGTACACTGCTGAGGGGAGCAGCGGGCGGCAGGAGAGGTCTGCGCGCCAATATACTCAATGATTTCTGGTTGGAAGGCCCAGAGTCATGGAAATATGAGGCTTAGAAATATACGGGAATCTATTACAAATTTATCTGGTGCAATCCTCTGGTCTTTGAGAGGATGAGATGGCAGAGTGAGCACTTCTGGCTCTTAGCCCAGTGTTCTTCTCATAAAATCAACTCAAGAAAAATGATTCAAAAATAGAAACGGTCCAGAGAAATTGTTATAAGTAGGTGAAGAAAACAGAGAGAATTGCATATGACTACAGGAGCAGTAATATCTGGAAAAAATGGAGATTGAAGAAAAATGTGATCTAACCATATAAATCATGAAGAGTACTAAATTAGTGCTAAAAGAAAGACTGCTAAAAAAAAGAAACTCTGAACTTTGAAATAAGTAATAAAATAATAAATAAGAGCAAATAGTTATGCTATAATCTCAAGAGAAGTTATGCACTATTTTAAAAAAAGATTGAATAAAAGTTAAGTGTATTGGTAAATTTCTGTTATATGTTAGAGCAATGTCCAGAATCTTTGGGCTTACTCACCAAAGTTATTAGGTATTTCTGTGGGAGAGAGAATTTGAGCCTATGGAACTACTCGTCTCATTCAATGTGTTTCTGTGTTCTTAAGGGAAATGAGATTATTGGAATAGTATGTGCTTTTCTGGAACAGTGGGAAGAAAAGCTGTGGATGAAGGAAGAGATCCTTATACTTTTGCTCGGAGACCCCAAATTAGATATTGTTGAATAGTTTTGTATATGCATGAAAGAATTAAAAAATGGTAGGACTTAGTAACTAGTAAACATTATTATGTACCAGACACTGTGTAACATCCATTTTCTCATGTAAATAGCTCATTTTATAGGGCCTCCCCGGTGGCTCAGTGATTGAGCGCTGGGCTGCGAAACTGCCCTCAGCCTCTGCAGCGCCAGTTCCAACCCCGGCCGCGGGGCGAGGGTCCCACATGGCACACAGACCTCTCCTGCCGCCCGCTGCTCCCCTCAGCAGTGTACTTCGGTCCTTCTGCCTGCTCTGCTCCCCGCTCTGGCTCTGGTGAATTCTCTCACCCTCCCGCACTTCTGACTGTACCCAGTGCTTGTAGAAATAAATTAAAAAATAAAAAATAAAAATAAAAAAATAAATTAAAAAAAAAGCTCACTTTATAGCTGAGGAATTTAAGACCAAAAAAACTTTAAGTTTGCCCAATGTTATAGTAAGTGGCAGAGCCACTGTTCAAATTTAACTCCACCTGTATCCCAAAGCCATTAAGATTTATGTTCACATGTGCCCTCCTTATGCTTCATTGGGTGGAAATGTGGGCTCTGAAACCTGTCTTTGTTGCACTCAAATCCTGGCTCCTTCATTTACTAGCTTGATGAGGTACTCATTAGTTTCTTTGCCTCCCAAATAGAGATTAGGATAGTTAGTACCTACCTCAGAGGGTTATGAGGACTGAGTTAATTCATGTAAAGTGCTTAGAACTGTACCTGACATGTTATAAGCTCTCAGGAAATGTGGAATGTTAATTTTTTTAAAAAATAATGTGATTTAGTTTATTTCAAGATACTATTTTCTTTAGAAATAGTATTGTTGAAATAATTATTATTGAAATAATTAAAGTGTGTGATAAGTATAATGATAAGTATAATAAACTATTTCTGTCTTTAACAAAACAGGGGGAGACTCAATAAAATTTTGAAAAGCATCAGTGTACACTGAAAAGATCTGTGGCCTGGACTAGAGGATTTGGTTCTAATTGTCTCTGTCACTGTGATCCTATTTCTGTCACCTACAGAAGGTTGTAAAGATCAGATTAGGTAACAAATGTGAATGAAATTTGCATGCTACACAAATGTAAAAATACTTATTGAAACTATAGCAGAAAGTTACAATAAACTATTGTTGAAGGATTATTAAAGTTTAACTTCCTTAGAGCAAAAACAACCAGTGATTTACACCTCTAGATGAAGATTACAGTCTAATACAATAAACCACATGACTCTGTGTTTGTCTTAAATCTCTTTTTTGGTGGGAGAGGGTAAAATTTAATTTTTGCAGTTGTAGCTATGTATTAGTTGGCCAGGCCTGCCATAACAAAGTACCGGAGACTGTGGCAAAAACAGGAGAAAGAACTTGCCCTCCATTCTGGAGGTGGGCAGTCTAAGGTATCAGCAGGGTTGGTTTCTTCTGGGGCCTTCCTTTTTGCCTGGTACATGGCTACTCTCTCCTCCCTGTGTCTTCATGTGGTCTTCCTTTGGTGCCCACATCTCTTTTTTCTTTAAAGGACACCAGTCATATTGGATTAGGACCTGTCTTTAATAACTTCACGTAACCTTAATTACCTCTTTAAAGTCTCTATTTCCAAATACAGTCACATTCCAAGGATTTAAGGGTTAGAATTTTAACTTACGAATTTTGAGGGGAGCATAGTTTAGTTCTTAACAGTTTGTTGACCACCCTAAGAAATCATGCCTTTGCGTTGTCACTGCTTTGGACTTAGAGCTATCAAGTTAGCCCACCATTCTGCTGAATAACCCACTGGAGAAG